AACTGATCCGACAGTGTAGAAGGCCGTTGAGTTTCGTGCTGATGGAAGGCTGACTAGTTGACCAGGCGAAATTGAATGAAGTTGGAATGTCAACCATTGAATTTCCCAGATGTCGATCTGGCGGTTAAAAGCGAATGTCGATTTGAAATCTGTCGATGAATGAAAGCCGTTGATGTAGCGGATGCATTTCGAACGGCAGAGATGAACGCGATATTTGTCGGCGGCTCTGACGCATGTCAGGGAACGAAGAACTTGAAGCCGTCGATGTCGTTGAAGCCATCGCGAGCGTCCGTCGTGCAGAAGCTGTCAGACGAGATGCCAGAAAAATCTCACAAGTAACAGTGCGAGAGCACTTTTTCTCCCCCTTTCTCCCGGGCAGAGGCGAAAAACAGTTGCTGCTCTTCCCCCTGACCTCGTAAAATTTTTCGAAGTTTAACTCGAACTGCCGGCAGCTGCATTGTCGGTGTTGTCGTGACTCGCCGAAAACTTCGGGACAGAGGCGAAAAAGCTGTCCTTCCTCCCCCCACCTGTTGCGATACATTTCACCAGTGTTGCGGCTGGTACCCCCGAACGGAGTCGGAATTAGCTGCCAATCTTGTTCCCGTCGGTTTTGCGTGCTTAACCCAGGGCCTCTTCATCCCCGCCGTTCGCACGGAACCGTTGCCCGTTTCTGCCGAACTCAGTTTAGACCCAGCTCCCAGTACTGCTGCTGAAAGTGTCGGTGCCGAAAATTCTCGTACGTCTTGGTCAGCTGCAGGTTGTCCTCTTGAAGAACCGGTGTATCTAGCGTGCCCACCCGTCGCCACTCTCAACGCTTGTGGTTAACCATACTAGCAACCCACCAAAAGGGAGGCGCCTTTCCGTGTGGAACCCAGAACTGTGGGTCTACCGGGACCGAATTTCACGGAACCTAGCCCGCATCAACGCCGCAGATCTCGCTGTAGGACTTCCCCAGATGGCCTCGAAATACCCCGTAAATTGCTTAAACAGCTGGCGAGCAGACGTTCACCCGTCTCCCACCGTCGAAATTGCACCCGAAAATCATGGTTGCGGAATCAAGCCCCGAAGTATTTTCTGCCTTGTAGCCCCGACGTTTCCACCGTTAACCCTGGTACTCCGACGTTCACCCATCTTCGTACCCGTCGAGATTACTTAGCAAATCCCAGGCATCCTTGGCAATACACCCCTCGCCGTGCCTCCATGTAACAATATCAAACCCTTTCGGGTGTCTACCGAATAGACTCCGAAATTCGCGGTGGAGTGGTGTACGGGCTCAGCCTATCACTCAAGTAGCTTGAAGCGGCACCCACAACTTTCCCTCCTTTTTTTGTTTTTACCCACAACTTACGAATTGCCTTCGAGGCCTTTCTAGTGTGAGGTACGTGAAACGTCGGTAGACTTTGGCCGGTAGGAAGCTCATTCTGCTACCGCCGCCTAGCCACAAAACTCGACCTCAGCAAAAAGTCGTCGCAGTAGGTCGTTTTCTCCCCCTTGAAGCTCGAAATCCGTTTCTCTCGCAAGACCCGTATTTGTCGCAACTCCGTTTATTGTAGCCGGTAGACCAGGCGAAATTCGCGGGTCTAAACTCTGCGCCAAAACGTTGTCCCGTCGGTGTACTGCCCTGTCTGCGGCACAACTTCCCGTGCTCAGGGGGAACCTCTGTCGCCTGAAGTACAGTATCGGTTGCTGCTGTTGCGCCGAAAATTTCGGCCGACATCGATGCAGACACAGAAGTGACCCTAACGCGAAAAGTCTAGTCGTAGGCGGCCTTTTCCGATCTTTTCGGCGGTTTGAAAATAACTTCCGTCCCACACTGTGCCGCTCCTGCCGAAAAACGCCCACGACGCACCCTCCTGCAGCAACACCTGCCGCACCCGGGCGGGACGACGGTAGACCCCCGCTTTCTTCGGGCAGTCGCCACGCCGCCTCTCCTCGCCGTCGGTTTTTCTAACGCGAATCACACATTGCGCCTGGCTGCTCGCACAACAGTCGTTTTCCACGTGTTGCTATCCGAAATCTTCGCGCACAGTGACGACGCGCCATTTGCCGAAGACATCCAAGGATTCATGTGCAACGTGACAAAGAAGCTTGGCGCCAATTGCTGCATGTAGTCCGCTCCGAAGATTTCGTGCGCAGTTGTCGACCACTTGCCGACGTAACTCGCGCCACGGACGTTTCTCGCGCCACGGAACAGAAATGATGAAAGGAGGGCTTGCACTAGCAGCAGTTGGCATACATATAGGAAACCCTGATTGGGTTGTACTCGCTATAGAGTACCCCACTGCAGGCTAGACAATAATAACATTCTGACACACCCCCATAGCCAAAGTGGGGTGTAATCAGCACAATGAGCAGGCATAGCAATAGTTCACAATTATAAGCAAAGCTAGATGTAATCACAGAGGGCAAGTGAGGAGGAGGAGGGACTGTGAGGGGAGAGAAGATTGGAGACGACGACTGAAGCTGCAGACACACGGGCAACAGGAGCGCGCACACAGTGGCTACCGGGACAGCGCCCCGGACTACTGGAGTAACTGGCTCGGCGGCTACGAGGAGCGGCAAGAGCAACGGACCCACGGGCGACAGGCGCAGCAGGCTCTCTGGGCTACCGAGAGCACGACGGCTCCGGACTACAGGCGCTGCAGACGACACGACGGCTGCCTCCACCCAACCTCCTCCGACCGTCCCACGCCCCTCTCACACACCCCCTGCTGAAACCCTAGCTCCACTCCCACGGCACCCCCCTTAAACCCTAAACCCTCGGCTCCCACACACCCACCCCCCTCAGCGGCAGCTGCAGCAGTGGGAGACGGAGGAGGAGGAGGAGCTGCAGGTTACCCACACCGGTCACCCCCATGCCCGCCACCCCCAAACCCTAACGCAGGCAGGAGCGCGGGAAACAGCAGGGGCGGTTCACGGAGGGAAAGGGAGGCGGCGGGGGAGTCTCCAGGGCGCCACGAAGGAGCAGGGCACGGGCCCCCCGAGGGCGCCACGGCGGGTGACGGGAGGGGGGCCGCGCACGGGCCCCCGAGGGCGGCTCGACGGGCGACGGGAGGGGCCGCGCGCGGGCCCCCAAGGCGCCGCGACGAGGCGACGGGAGGGGGCGGCGCGCGGGCCCCCAAGGCGCCGCGACGAGGCGACGGGAGGGGGCGGCGCGCGGGCCCCCAAGGTGCCGCGACGAGGCGACGGGAGGGGGGGAAGCGCGGGTCCCCAAGGCGCCGCGACGAGGCGACGGGAGGGGGCGGCGCGCGGGCCCCCAGGGCGCCGCGACGAGGCGACGGGAGGAGGACGACGCGCGGGCCCCCAGGGCGCCGCGACGGGCGACGGGGGGCAGCGCGCAGGTCCCCGGGGGCGCCACGACGGGGAGAAAACCGCCGTGCGAAGCAAGAAACCGCCGCACGCCTCGGGGCGCACGGCGGGCAGAAAACCGCCGCACGCTCCGAGCGCGCGGCGGGATGAAAAACGCCGCGCGCTCCGAGTGCGCGGTAGGAAGAAAGGGTCGCGCGCCCGGAGCGCGCGACAGCAGTAGAGCAGCGGAAGCATCGGGTGGGGCCCACCCACAGGATCGACCCAGGAGGGTCGACCTGCTCTGATAGCATGTCCGAATTAGTAGGCAGGAACAGAAATGATGAAAGGAGGGTTTGCACTAGCAGCAGTTGGCATACATATAGGAAACCCTGATTGGGTTGTACTCGCTATAGAGTACCCCACTGCAGGCTAGACAATAATAACATTCTGACAGTTTCCGACAAATTCGGACGTGCAGCCACGGCGATCCTGCCGACGTCAGCCGCTACACATCATTTACTCCGAAAATGACGAAAACGACCAGAGCTAACTCACACATTAAATGCAACTACAGCAAAAGTTGTCCGCCACCAGGGGGGAGGGAGGCCACAGTCCATCTCGACCGTCGAGGGCAAGGATCCGTCGGTCCAGCTCGAGCGCCCGTAAAAACATGGCCGCTAGGAGCAACTATCCGTTCTCCTGGCCGGCTACTGCGCTGCTCCTGTCACCACGGCATCCTTCCCTGTCCCCCCCCCTCCCGAGGGGTAATATACTCTAAAAAATGGGGAAGCTAGGAAAGTAGCTCTGATACCAAGTGTTATGAGTTTTACTAGACAGAGTGCGCGGACGAATTCCTTCTATAAAGAGACTGTGATTACAGAATGTTGGAACAATGAATGAAAAGAGCAAATATAGGGCGAAAACGTGCTAGGCGAGAATCTCGTGACGTGCGAGGGTTGGGATTGTCGCAATTGGTGTGGGGCGACTCGGAATTGGCTCGATGCAAAAATGTAGGCCGAGCCGCACTGACGCGAACTGCGTCCTCGCTAGGAGCAGCCTCTACAGTAATGAATGTATATTCATTACAAGAGGACTAGAATGGTTTTGAGTTAGACAGCGGATGTAAAGGAGTTTTTGTTCATTTTTGTAACTCGTACAGTGACGACGCGAAGAGAGAACTGCTCTTTTTGGGTGGCGGAGAGGTTCACCAAGTTACAGCATCCGTTTTTTATCGCATTGAAAATCCACCTCAATGCTCACTCAAGCCGGGCGACGGCGACGTCGGTACGACACCAGTCTAATTTCGCGAGAAATCGTTTTGCTGGCGAAAAAGTTCGCAAGTCTAGCAATTCGCGGCGCGTGTTGCATTATTCATTTCGCCGCGTTCCGAGTGCTGTGATTGGCTTGTGGGCACTGCTCATTGGAAGAAGAATCTGATTGGAGGATTGCCCTCCAAAATTTGCATTATGCGCCCCCATATAATTCAGCGCGATTCGCTGGGATGGGCGCTTGGTGGTGAGGTGAGGCGAGCGCACATCAGCTCACAACCGCACTTCCAGAGTTTCCCTGAAGTCTAGCTCGCATAAAATGAGACTCACAGTTCCTCATCACCTTATTTCTACAAGCCTCAACTCTAGAACCACACAGTGTGCAATTGACTTCGTTAGTACCCTTGCACTTGACTTAGCCTCGATTCAGTAGCTCTCGTCAGTATGATTCTTGGATTTCTCCTCGTGCTGGTCTTGTCTTACGGACCGCGTGACAGCGAAGGAGCAGCAATTCGGGGGCGACTCCTAACCGATCATAGCGATCACGATCTACGTAAGTCTCCTCGCAACCTTTCACCACGTTCCCCTACAGATTTAAATCTCGTCGTTTTGAGTTCCGAGATTGAAAGATTATCTCCCATATTTCATAATCTCTTCGTTCGTCCTATTCACTTTTCGATCGCCTCGGACAGGCGGAGTCGCACACCAATCGTCGCTCGAGCAGTCGATCCCCACACCTGGCGACTCGGGCGACTCGGAAATTCCCTTTCTCGTTGGAGATGCTCCGCTGCAGCGCAAACTGCAGCAGCAGGGGCGGGAGTTCCCAACGCTGAGGCAGATTACTCGACAGATGCTGACAACCGTGAAGCAGCAGCAACAGCGGAAGAAGCAGAATCCGCCGAAGAATCAGAAGACCGCCTCCGCTACCAGGTAAATTTTGTTTCTTGACCTTTTTCCCGGTAATTGTTCCTTGATTTTTTCACCCATATATGTTCTTTCCTTCCATAAAAATCCTTCTGGTGAGACGCTTTCTCATTCATGCCATTTTTTCTTAATCCGCTGCTTGCTCCGCACCGCCTCTCCCGTCATCCCGTCATCTCGCCGGCAAGAATTCATGGTCCGAGGTGGTGGCGACGACGGGAGAGTAGCCACGCGAGCACATGCCGGGCCAGGCCTCGCGCACCAGCAGCGGTTGGCATCGTTTTGAGTGCAGATCATTACATAATTTTTTATGCCTTCTTTTGTGTATCGCTGTTGTCGTCCTTGCGTCGCAGCAAAACCTCCTGGCCCGAGGTGGTGGGGCTGAAGGGAGAGGAGGCTCTCAAGCAAATCAAGGCCTCCGTGCCGCCTACGTGGACCGTTGGCATCATTCCGAGTGGGTTTATGATGACCGCGGATTTCCGATCCGATCGAGTCAACATCTTTGTGGACAAAGCTGGGATCGTTCAGAGACCTCCCACGGTAGGGTAGAATTTCTGCATGAGACAGCGGTGCGGGTGGACTGTAACATAGAGCATGCGGCGTGTGATCGTGGGGCATGTGGGAATGAGTGCTCCGGGTAGAGCTTAGTAAATTATTAGTTCCTGTATGATTAAACTGAGTGAATAGTGCACGCTTCCCTAAGCTGCGCGTGAACACTCGTAGAAAGAGCAGCAGCCCGTGTGAAAGTAGCAGCAGCACCAGGCGAGTGAGTAGATAAAAGCACTAGACGTGCAGCGAAACCAAGCAAGGAAGAACAGGAAATGTGTAAGATGTAGACGCAGGACCAACGCAACGCACCTAAAGAAATCAGAGTAAGTGGGAAGGAACGAGATTCCTTGTGTAATTCCGTTTGATTCCAGGTGCTGCGGGTATGTTCTCGCTAATGCTGGCTGTGCTTGTAAGATGCTGGAAGTGTGTAAGATGATGTGACGATAGATAGGGGACGAGTTGCAGGAGCAGAACAGCAGGGCAACGGGCGCAGCAGGAGTATGCTGGGGCTGGAAACGGTGCAAAGAGTTGGGGCAGCAGGGTTTAGGAGGGCACTGAGGTTGGTGTGCCTGTGAAAATGCATTGCAAAGGAGTACCTGATTGTAGGATGTCTCTATGTAGCCATTCGCAAATTTCATAATATGGTTAAAATAATGACATCTGATCATATTCTAATCAGGTCTGGTAGTTGAGAAGAGAATTGTTATGAATGAACTTGTCAGAGTGCGCAGATATCGAATAACGAGAATGTTGAACTACAGAATGCCTGAACAATGAAGTAGCGAGGCCTAAATAGGGGAAAACCTAGCTAGGCGGGGATGGTGTGGTAGGGTTGGCTCGCGAAGTGTCGCGATTGGTGCGGAGGCGGCTCGGTGAGGTTGGGATGCGAAATTGTAGGCCGAACCAGTTGGTCGCGTGGCCCTCGGGATGGCCTCGCTATCGAGCGCCTCAGTAAGGATTTGTAAATCCTTACACTCTCCCACCTCCTAAATAAGGCAGCCCTGTACTGAAAAGGGTCACCCAGTAGCGAGGATGCCGTTGATCTTCACTTCAGCTGAATCCGACGGCTGAAATGCCCCAGACAATATTGTTGAAAAGGTTGGAATGTCGGCCGTTGATGTTGTCAGATTTCGATCTGACGGTCGAAGATGAAGTGGCCCAAATGTAATGAAAGTTGGATTGTGGGCCGTAGATGCAGTCAGATGTCGATCTGACGGATGAGGATGAGCTGGCCCAAAATGAAGTGGAAGTTGGAATGTGGGCCGTTGATCGAGCAGCAGCGAATCTGACGGTCGAGGCAGATGCGATTTTGGAGGGAACCTGCTGACGCGAATTCAAACGCGATTGAGTAGGGATCGTTGATCGTGAAGCAGCAATCGTAGTCGTTCGTCGTGCTGACGCAACCTGACAAAGTCAGAAATGGACCAGAAAACGCCAAGGAAAGAACAGTGCGAAGCACTTTCTCCCCTCTCCAAGAAAACACACCATAAAAGTTCCAGCAGCTGCGCCGAGATGAAAACAAACAAAACCGGGTGTTAAGTCCCACTGAGAAAAGCGTTGCGCGTAGAAGTCGAGGTGAAAACTGCGTCGGTGTGGAAACTCGATGAGGAAACCAGGTGTTAAGTGCCCCAAAAATTTCAAGGGCGAACCAGCGAAAGTAGACCAGAAACTCCGTTGAAAATTCGTCGTTGCTCGAACTGAACCTGTGCTGTCGTCATGTGCCAGAATCCTGCAGTATCTTCGGCAGTTGCAGCTGGCAGCACCTGACGTGGCTGAAATTAAATCGTTTGTCGTGGGCGGGTCGAGTTGGGCGAAGTGTCGTTAGCAGAGTTGGGGTGACTATATCCCGAAATTCTCTGGCTGTAAAGTCGGGAGTGTTACGGAATTCGATCGTAAAAGCGATTGGTCGCGAAGTTGGAGACGAGAGTTGGCGATTGTTGTCGAAACAGTAACCAATTTGAATGTCGCTCCGTGGAGAATTGTCGAACACTTAATCAGGGTCAGATGACGTCAGCTACTCCCGGCAGTTTGTCCAGACTCGCCGAGGAGTTTGTCGCGTTGCGCCGAGGGGTCCTGGGCAGAGATGAAAAAATTACAGCTGTCTCTCCCCCCTTCCACTGTTGCTGCTGCCACCTCCAGTTCGTCGTAAGTCCTTCGTACCCCTTGAAAACTCCGTGTAGATCTCGCAGTGTTCCCCACACAAATGCGCGCGCGTTTAATCAAACGCCGAATACTCCTCCGATGTTGTCGCCGCTTCCCGCCGTAAAACCTGCAAGTCCCCGATGAAATCTCCGAAAATGTCGTTGGAACATAACCCCGAAACTCCGCAGTTGCAGGTGCAGTTCGCCTCCGAAAATCTCAGACGTGCTATAGCCGCCCACCCGGTCACCATCAGTTTCCTTCGGTTACCCGACCCCAGCATGTGGGTTAAATCGAGAACCGGGGACTGCCCTGGGTCTTCCGAGACCGAATTTCACGGAACCTAGAGGCATCAACGCCGTTGACCCCGTCGTCGAAACTGCTCCCGTCGATGTCGCTTAACTGAAAACCACGCAAACTCCCACTGGCGCTTTGCGATGTTTCACCTCATCGCGCGTCACCGGCAGGTAAATCCCGAAGCCTCGGCTGCTCCCACGCTCCCTGAAGAATTTCCCGCGGTGTACGTTTAAACACCCGTGGGTCCTAGGTATCAACCGCACTCCAAGAAACGAAGAAAACACCCTCAGCTTCAACTCCTTTTTTTTTTCGTAGGAAGATAACCCCGAAAATCGTGGTTGAGGCTGCAGTCCCGAAGTTATTCTCCGCCGTATAGCCCCGACGTTTCCGCCGTTTTTTCCCTGGTACTCCGATGTTCACCCATCTTCGTACCCGCCGGAACTACTTAGCGAATCCCAGGTATCCTTGGCAATGTACCGCTCGCCGCGCCTCCATGTAACGATATCAAACCCTTTCGGGGGTCTACCGAATAGACTCCGAAATTCGCGGTAGATTGGTGCACGGGCTCAACCTATCACTCAAGTGATCTGCTGGATCACCCACAACTTTCCCTCCGTCGTCATATTTTTCGTATTCACCCCCCGACAATTCCGCTTCCCGCCGTTCACCCAGCGTCCGCTTTTGTCGGATGGGGTATCGTCGTTGTTGCCCACGCGAACTCGGCCACGGTGGAGAGGCAAAAACTATCGGAGTCGGGGCAGCCTTAGTTAAAAGGAAACTGTCGCCCAACCGTTTTGCAGCCCGCCGTGCCTATCACGCCACGAAAATTCCACAGCTTCCCGATCTTAGCTTCGCCGCTGCGCCGTCAATTCGTGTAGACGCCCGGGTCAGGAGAAACCTGTAGACTGCACCATTTCTTCTTCGCAGCTCCCCGACTTTTTCGCGTGCCGTTCACCCAGCCCGCTTTTGTCGGAGTAAAACAGTGCCGCGAGCTCCACTTTTTTTTTTGTCCTTTTCTTGTACAGCTATTGAACGGGCACCAATCCCGGTACCTTTAACCAGCGCAGGGTAGGCCACGTGTTCACCCCCGTTATTCGGCCAAGTAGGTTGACTGCATGAGTCAGAACCAGGACTTGGTGGGGATGGTGAGGTTCGGGCGAAGTAGGGCCGCAGATCGATTCCACCGGCTTTTAATCTGCCCCCGCAACGTTCTTCAACCCCCGCTTAGCCGTTGGGCCGTTTCTTCTCGCGTGTCCCGGCAGCCTGTACCGACCCTTCCGAGGTACCTTGGACACCGTTTAACCGTGGGTTGTCAGCAGCTGTCCCCGAAAACAACATCCTTGGTCAGGGGAAACTGTTCTCGATACTGCCGGCCAGCTTGCAACAACACCAGGCACGCAGCGTCGCACGAGTTCTTTCGAGGTGTACCTGCCCCGATTTCCTTCGTCGCCTGCGTCCCACTCCTCGTAAGTGCGGTTTAGCCACCGCGTTTTCCGTTGCAGCCCGTAAGCGTCAGCAGGTATGAAGCCCCGTCTGTCCACGAGCACTCCTGCCGAAAATAGTTGATGACGCGCCCGCCAATGCGGTAAAAGCCGCTGCACTTAACAGGTCGGGCGGGACGGCAGTTAACTCCCGTTAAGTCGGGCAGTCTTGTGTCGTCTCTCCTCGCCACCGACTTTTTCGGACGCAAACTCCTTTTGCGCCTGGCGAGTTCCCCAACCGACTTTTCTTCAAGAGTAGCTCCGAAATTTTCGCCACAGTGACGCACATCCACTGTCGCCAGCTGCCGAAACACCTCCCGCGAGCCATGCCCGCAAAGTGACGACGAGCCACCGTCGTAACTTGCCGCATCAGACGAGCTCCGAGATTGTCGCGCAGCTGTTGACCCAAATCCGACGGCGTCAACTGCCACACCCGTTGACGACTCCGAAATCTTCGTGCAGGCGCCGACGCAGGTCCGCTGACGCCAGCTGCCTCACAAAATCCGAAATCGTCGGTAAATAACGCAGCGGAATAGTACTCACGTTCAGAGTCGCGACAGCTCCAGCTGTCCGTTGCCCGGGGGGAGGGAGGTCACGGTCGATCGCGACCGTTCGAGCTAAGGATCTGGCGGTGCCGAAGGAGTGCCCCGTAAAACTATGGCCGCGAAGAGCAACTAACTAGTTCTCTTGGCCGGCCTACGCAACTCCTGGACCCCAAGGCATCCTTACTCGTCCCCCCCCCCGAGGGGTAATACACTCTAAAAAACGGGGAAGCTAGGAAAGTAGCTCTGATACCAGGTGTTATGAATGAACTTGTCAGAGTGCGCAGATATCGAATAACGAGAATGTTGAACTACAGAATGCCTGAACAATGAAGTAGCGAGGCCTAAATAGGGGAAAACCTAGCTAGGGGGGGAAGGTGTGGTAGGGTTGGCTCGCGAAGTGTCGCGATTGGTGCGGAGGCGGCTCGGTGAGGTTGGGATGCGAAATTGTAGGCCGAACCAGTTGGTCGCGTGGCCCTCGGGATGGCCTCGCTATCGAGCGCCTCAGTAAGGATTTGTAAATCCTTACAAGAATAAGACA